CATTTGTTTATAAGTAGATTTTGTTAATTATACTTGTAAACTAATTATTATTAACAATTAAAACGGAAAGTTTAGGAAATACATTAAATTTATATAAATTTAAAACATTATTGTTAGTTACAGCATGTATAATTCAAGAACAACTTGATATATTTTGATGATCTATAATTTATTAGATTTGTCTTAGTTTCAAATAAGATAATAACTATTAAAATGTCAGAAATTATTCTTGGAAGACTGTTAAATAAGGGATGAAAATTGACTCTTTTTCTCACGTCAAATAAAAATACGACAATTATATTAAAAAAATTCTCTCTGCTGCTCTAATTCATTGGTGAATCTAAGTACAAGTACAATGAACTTTTATCAAAGTATCTCCTCTCTGCAATGAAGGCAAGTAGATGAAATAACATCGTCTTTTGAGGAGCTTCAGAGCTTCACTAAGATTGATTTCGTTTGAGAAAATCACTTCGTTCTTTTGATCTTCTTCTCGCGTTGCGTCTGGCTTCATTTCTCGTTTCATTTACAGACGCGTCGAGGCGCAGCAAAACGATTCAATTGTTAAGTCAATACAATTACAATCCATCAAGTTATTCAACTTATTCAACCAAATAAATTAAACGAACAAAACATTTCATTATTTAAAAACATTTTAAATGTAAATTTACGAGTAAATCTATAAAAATGTTACTTTCATTAAAATATCGGTCAAACAAACAAATTCCTATTGAAATCGCGGCGATAAAAATAATTTAAGAATCGAACGCATATAAAAATGCAAGCAGATCGCTTCTCGGCAAATTGCATTCCCTTCGCTGCTTGCATATTTATTGCAAAATATGCGCGACGTGTTCCAGATTCCGGTGACCGGATTTTAGGTTTAGGTTGCCTAGATATATTCCGCATTCTTTACCCAACCAATAACCGCCATAACCGGGATATTTATACGTGTTTACCGATGCAGATGGCGGCCATTTTGTGTGGGATTGCAATTGCATATGTACATATTGACATCTGACATCTGCTCACGCGTGATTCAATCGAAATAAATGCACTGGGCATGTAGCAACTTACAATGGACGAAAATGAATTTATTGCTTTCACTAAATGCATTCAGACGGGTTTTAATTTTGACTTAAGGGGTTAGGTTATGTAAAAAATATTTACTTAAGTTAAGTAGTAGTGTTTTAAGGTATTTTACTTGAAAACTGCTTAAAATAGCTTAAATTTTTTTGATATTTTTGTGACTAAAAACAAAAAATGAAGTTTTTTTTCATTCTACTCAAATCTAACCTCAAATATATCCTAACCTCAATAGTTGACTCCTTAAAACAACTTTTAATGCCTCTTACAACATAAATCCAACCAGTTACTTTAATCTTTTCTCGATTACCACTAATTATCCACTAATTCCTTCCTCCTGCTTTAACTTTGAAGTTTATTTCTCTATTTTTACGATAAAACAAATTCTGTTTAAAAACCCAACACTCATTATCTCATTTAAATACAATCTGCATCTTCTTGTGTGGTTTGTCTCATCAATTTTTACGTGTATCGTTGGCTGCGCGAGCGTGCGTTTTGAAAGCATTCCAAATTTATTTCCACTCGCACGCATAATTTGATTCACAACTCGGGCGCGCCGAGGAAAAGTGTGAAAAGAAAAGGAAACACTTGTCGCGCAACGGTGTGTGCGCGCATTCCACAGCTCCAACCGCATCAGAGTGAGGCTATAATTATGTAGTCTCGCATGCGCGCATGCAGTGCATACTTAAGTCGGAGATAACATTTCTGGAGCAGCTCCAGCACCTCCCGGAGATATCTTAATAACTACAATTTTCGCTCGTGTTTACAGTGCGGTAATTTTATAGGCTGAATTCATCAAATGATTTTAAACTTATTTTATAATAAATCTGTAGAACATGGTTGTAGTAAATTAGTAAATTTAAGAGTTTAGTTTAAAATAGTTTTTGTAGAAAGTTTTAAATTTGACTGAAACTTGTATCGATAACTGTAGGCAACTTATTTTACAATTTAAGCAAAGTAGAATAAAAAATTAAGAAATTTTCCTTTAATTATTGCTGCAGCAATGAATAACTTGGCTAAAATAAGGTAAACAAAGTGTTTAAATAGATAGTGAAGTAAATTGTTTAAGAAATTACTGCATTAGAGAAAAACATTGAGTTTGTATGCGCTTGGAACAAATTGTCAGGTTAGGGTAACCTACTCGTAAATGAAAGCTGTATTTTAAACAAAGTACGGTGCTGCTATTTCAAACGCTACGGGTAGAAGTAATGAAGGGTAAATAAGGCAACACCGTAATTTGCACAAAATACAACTGTCATTTGTGTTACGTGAGCGTAACCACCATTATTTTAAACAAGCTTTTGTCTGTGACTTTGTTTATTTAATTTTTAGTAAAAATATTGTTAATTTTTATTTTAAAGAAATTAAAAATGCTATTGATGCATTTGAGCGCCATCTCGAATTCAAATATTTAGCCATAACTATGATTAAATGTCTATATAAATTTTCATCCCTTATTTAACCCACTTTAAGTAATAATTTTTGATATTTTAATAATTATTCTCCTATTTGGGACCAAGATGAATCCAAAAAATCATAGATCATCAAAATCTGTTCAGTCGTTCTTGAGTTATAAACGCTGTAACTAACACGAAATTATATATATACTACAGATTATATATTTTTGAAAAAAAAATTGTTTAAGAATGGTTTATAGGGTTTATTAGCAGTTGAAAATAAGTGAAACTATGAAAACATTACAAATATTTAAATAATTTATAACAATAATTTACTAGACTTCTAACTGACGACTCTTTTCAATTTAAATTTATGATTTTGTTCAAGATTGTCTTGTTTATGCTTGCCTGCATGATACGCCCGTGCTTTGTTCACAATTCATGCGAAAAAAATCCAATAGTACAAAAGCGCAAAATTGAATAAAAGGACCCGCACATATTCGCTACACTTATGTTTAGTTATGTGCGTTGCGAGCATCTCGCATAATATGCAAATGAACTGTCCCGGATAAGTTATCGGAAGCTGGTGCGACCCCGAGAGGGCCTCGCGGCTTTCGAGCTTTCGCTGAAGTCGTAACTCGCCGCTAACGGCCAGCGACATACCCAAAACCGAAACAAAGATAACGAGCCGCGCGCAATGAGAATAAAAAAGGGAAGTGCGCAAGACTCACGTAAGCAAAAAATAAGAAATAATAAAGTATCCAGCACGAATGGAGCGAGGCAAATAAAGAAACGGCCCGAAACGGCGTAAATTCAATGAGCATGCATGTGAAACAATGAGTTAAGATGTGGTGAGGAGATAAGAAGAAGAAAATGCAATAAATTCAACAAATAAGTAAATTAATTAATTAAATGAAGAATTTTATTTAAAGAAAAATAGTTTTGCAAGGGATTTTGTTGAAACTATGATTAATCTCTATAATAACTTTCATCCCTTATTTAACACCCTTTAAATTATAATTATTTATATTTTAATAGTTATTATCTTATTCTGGACCAAGACAAATTCAACAAATCATAGATCATCAAAATCTGTTCAGCCGTTCTTGAGTTATACATGGTGTAACTAACCCTACTTTCTTTTAACAGTCTGAATCGATTTGTACAAGAAAATGAAGACGTTGTTAGTAACGTAGCGTGGGTATCAGTTTCCAGGGGTCGTAGCTCCTAAAATAAGCGCGATTTCTTTTTGATATTATGTTGTACAAAAGGTTATGTTGACATAACCTCAAATTTTCATTTTCATATAATTTTTTTAACAATATGTAGGTAGCTATACACGTCTTTATTACAAATATTCAAATTTTGGTAACATAAATTCTTTTCTAACCTTTTGTTATATTTTGTTGCTCCATAATTTTTCTCATTCTTCACATTTCATTGTTTCCCATTACAAATTTTTCTTTATGTCTTAACGACTTTACGACGCTTTTCTTTTCTTTTCTTTTCATCCGGTCGTGTTTACTTGGGTTGCGCACCGTCCCGAATTAATTTTATTCTCTTGCTTCTTATATTATGAATTTGTTTGCTTTACGAGCAAATTAAACGCGCTGAAAAGTTTTATTGTTCGCCATTTTATTGTTTATTATTAAATGCGTGTATTTTAATCAAAATGTTGCCAAGAAACAAATGAAAATTGTCTCGTGATTAATGACGCGTTTAATACGCAATCAAACTGCGGCTGCTATTAACGCACTTGCCCTCCAAAACCTCCAAAATTCGAGAAACGAAACGGCAATATTATGCGTGCGAGATGCCATTAATTACGCAATTAATATCGAAATATCAGAATATAATAAACGTTTGGCACGACCGCGCAATGCGGCAAAGCGTAATTAACAAATTAACGATTCGAATAATTACCAATTAAATCTGCAAGCCCGGAAATTTAGTTAATTGCCAGGATGGCACACAGGGAAAGACAAATGAAGAAAAAATATAAAACAAAAACATAATAAATGCTAAATGTTGAAGTGAAAAAGTTTCGCGAGCATTAATCACTCGTTAAAGAGTTCTTCTAAGTACAAAAACTAAACAAACTCACAAAACTAAGAAAAACTTTGTGGACTACAGCTAAAAGTTTTGCGTTATAGATAAATACACGCGAAACTTTTTTTTAGTTTTTTTTTGTGCCACTTTTATCTGTGTTATAATAAATTGTTTTCTTAAAAAATATTTAATAACAAACCAAAATGAGTAAAAAGTTGATATAGTTATTAGAATTCAATATTATGTAGTATTTTTTGAGTTGTAACTTTCATTACTTATTTAACACCCTGTATATTATATTTTTGTAACAAAAAGTGGTCTATCACATTTTCCATGATCCAAAATATCTTTATACCAAAATTTATCAATATTGCTTTTGTGGTTTATGCGTGAAAGCGTAACAAACAAACAATTCGTATAAAAGATGAATTAAAAATATTGACTAAACTAGGTTATGTTTGGTTGTTGCAGGTAAAGCAGTCCCATTCGTTGAGCTGACAGTTGCGCACGCATCAGTGTTAACCATCTTGGCCATCAGTTTCGAGCGCTACTACGCCATTTGTATGCCATTGAAAGCCGGCTATATCTGCACCAAAACGCGCGCATCTTTGATCTGCCTGCTGGCGTGGTTCGTCGCTGCTGTTTTCACAAGGTAAATCAACAAATACAAAATATTAATAAGAAAACACCCAATATCATCACATCAATCAATGACTTTGATGTTGACATGCAGCGACATCTTTTGATCGATTACTGCAATATATAAACACAAAATTTATGTGATTTATGTGCTGTTATTGAAAATCAAATATCTTTTATTTTTATCAGGAGAAATTATTAACTACTTGTCACTCTATCACAATAAACAAATTTTGTTAAAGTTATAACTTCTAATAAAAGTATGAGATATTTGAATTTGGAGGTTATGGGATAGTATATGTACTTATAGTTGATGGTTTGGGTGACATAGTGACACTAACACTGACATTGGTGACACTGCCACACTTTTTTGACGTTTGACGTTGTTTTATTTTTTTATTGACATTCTAACATATGCATGGACACGCTGCTATCATAACACGCTTTTGATTGTTTATATTAATTTAATTTTAACAATTACAACAAAAGTTACACACAAATATTTGAATCATATTTGAATCTTCATCTCATACTCCATCGAAATAATGATTTAAAGTTGTTCAACAAGTCGAAACATTTCTCTTTGTTTGCGCCACGTTTTGGTTTTGTAGCACGTTTTTCCACCAGCGTACTTTTTTTATAGGATTTTATAAATTGTGTAAGCTGTGTTTCCAGCTGTAATCCGAGGGCCGTATCAGAGTATGATAATACGATTAGTTACCGCCGCGATACGCGCCGCCCTCGGGCTCATTGAGTCATTGAGAGGTCGGCGAGGTCGGGAGCTTGTTTAGCTCGGCAAACGAAGAAAATGGGAAAATTTCATTAGGCGGCCTGCTGGACGCGCAGGACGCTTCGCTGGCGCAGAGCCTCTTAACGACCATATTGGTCACGTCCACTGTGGAAGCGCGCTTGTTTTCAATGTGCTTTTTTCGCACGACGTTTGGGTCTTGAGAGTTGTTTTAGTTGCTTTGGTCGCTTTAATTTCTTGGAACAGATTTTTATTAGTGGTTAGTTAGGTCACTAACCTATACGGAGTGGTAGTAGAACCTGCTTATTTTTAGTTAATAGAAATATTTAAATAAATTCCTCAAAAAGTTGATGAAAGTTGATTTTAAAAATATAGAGGAAATATTTTTTATTATAAGCTTGACATTTTGTATGGTTTTGTGCTGCACCGTAGGCAAATGCGCAGGCGCTAGCTCCGCCCCGTGACTAAAGGCCGTGACAAAAGTACTTTAATCAAAATATTTAAAAAAAGTTTATTTTCGAGAAATTTTAAACTAAATCTTGATTCAGTTATTATCATAGACAGCAAATGTCGTGACTAAAGTACTTTAGTCACCGACTTTAGTCACGGGTTGAAGTTTACGCCTCTGTATTTGTCTATAATGCAGCATAACATCTAAAAACAAAATTTTGCAAATTTTTAAAATAAAATAAGTAATTTAAAATAAAAATAAAATTTCAATGCCTTGACTAAAGTACTTTAGTCACGAGCTTTAGTCACGGGCTTTAGTAATGGGGTAAATGCGCAGGCGCTAACTTCGCCCCGTGACTAAAGGCCGTGACTAAAGTACTTTAATCAAAATATTTAAAAAAGTTTATTTTCGGGTGATTTTAAACAAAATCAGGTTTTTCCAATTAGTTTTTCTTCTTTTCTTGCAATTTCCTCCTGTCATTTTGTCATTTTTGAATTTCTAGCCCAGATTCTTTCCTCAAATCTTTCTCTTCCATTTTGCACGTCCTGCGTGCCATCATCTTGAGTTCAATTCAAGTCGGTTCATTCAATTAAGAGTTCTCTTCGGCTTTCTGGCTCCTTTCTGATTCCCCGATTTTCAATTTCAAAAACCCTTCACTTCAAACTTTCAACATTCCGCTGTTTTAAATTTGTAAATGAAGAATGTTAAATTCAATAAAATTGCATGTTACTACTATGATACAGTACAGTGAAAAACATAAAGATATGTGGAGGAAAGTATAAAGAAGGGCGAATAATGGGCGGTGCCGTCAGACCGACGTCAGACAACAGAAAAAAAATCTGTTACGAGATAAGAATGAAGCCAAGAGTGGAAAACGCACAGACGCAGATATAAGTTGTCTGTGTTTATACTCGTAGAAAACGAAGTCTTCCGAAGAGTTTTTTTTCGTGGTTTTGTGTGAAAACAAACCGCAGACAAAGAAATGCACAAAGCGATTTGCAAAACAGAACAGAAAATACAAAAGTAGCAAAGTTGCAGGATGTACATGTATAGTGCAGGGGATTTTATATAAGGAGATTGAATTTTTGGTCAAAAGTAAAATAATAAGAACTAAAAATTTATAAAACAAGTTGGGTTAGTTACAACTCTTATAACTCAAGAACGGCTGGATAGATTTTGATGATCTATGATTTTTTGGATTTATCTTTATCCTGAGTAAGAGAATAATTATTAAAATATTAAAAATTACGACTTGAAGAGTGTTAAATAAGGGATGAAAATTGGTATAACGATTCCATAATAGTTATACCTGAATAATTGAATTATAGATGGCGCTGCAGTACAGAATTAGCAATTTTTATTTCTTTAATATAAAATTGCGAATTTTTTGCATTTTTCAAATTGTGACTTCACATTTCGAACAAATTTCTCCTGCATTGATGAAATCCCCAGTTGAACTCATAAATAAACGGAATCGCATTACCATTAGCTCGTTCTAGATGTACTATGGTCCTCCTGCTCGTCCTGCTCGTTTTCGTCCTCGTTGAAGTCCTCGCAGTCGTTGGCGAACACAGAAATTTCGCTCGTTTTCCACTCGGTTTTCCGCTCGGTTTGCCGCCGCAGTTCTCGAGAGAGCCCGGACGTAAATTGCAGGATGCAGGACGCAGGCCAGACTTACTCGTAGCTGCACCAACGCGTTTGGGAAAAAACAAACAAAGTGAAAAACAAATAGGTTTAAGCTTTCTCGAGTCATCAAGTCTGAGCTGCTGGGGCTGTGAGAGGGTCCTTAGGCAGGATTTACAGGCGTGCTATCGAGGCTAATTTAAGTGACAGATGTGGTAGGAATTGTGTGTTAACCAATTCAGTATTTAATATTTTTTCTTTAATTAAAAGTTTTGAGATTTTGTGTATTAGTAAAGAATTATTAAGTTTTAAGCAAGAAAAAATGCCTATTTTAACCCGTGACTAAAGCCCGTGACTAAAGCACGTGACTAAAGCCCGTGACTAAAGTACTTTAGTCATGGCTTTGAAATTTTACTTTAATTTTAAAATATTTATTTTAATTTATTTTATTATTCGAATAATTTAAAACTTTGAATTCAATATTCAATATTTTTTCTTTAATTAAAAGTTTTTGGATTTTGTGTATTAGTAAAGAATTATAAAGTTTTAAGCAAGAAAAGATGAAAATTTAAGCTTTACCCCGTGACTAAAGCCCGTGACTAAAGCCCGTGACTAAACTACTTTAGTCATGCCTTTGAAAATTTTTTTTTATTTTAAATTATTTATTTTATTTCAATTCTTATTTAAAAGTTTAAATTATTTTCCGATTAAAATAAGGATTAAGTAATCCCTGAAATTTAAAAGTTACCCAAATTTTATTAAATAATGCTAAGTAGAGTTTAGTGGAATTCTTGTGTCCTAATTTCCATTTGAGCGACAAAAGGCAGCCCTAAATGACAAACGAATCGGAATGAGGATGAGTGCACGCTAATCCAGTACGCGTCTACGCGTCCTGCCATGTCACGCTGGCGCTGCGTGTCCTGTCGTCCTTGCGCCTACTTTCGACGCTCTTTCAAAACGCGCCGATAATAATGCACGTTAAATCGGCTACGAATGAGAGATGCGCGTTTAATTGACACACTTTATGCGCACGAGTGATTTTCATTTCCACCCCACAGCCAAAACAAAAGCAGACAAAACACACATTTAAAGCTTTTCAACATTTTAAAATTTTATAGGAATTTAATGTACTTGTATTTAAATTAGTTACGCAATAGGAAATTCTTGCTAAATTTGCGTGGATTTACATTAGCGTGGGTTGTATTGAACTGCGATCGAGACAAACGACGCAATTATCTGTTTGTTAGTGATTTGGTGAGTTGGAATGAGGGTAGCTGCGTTTACAGCAAGGTGACTAAGGTGGCACGCTTGATTGACCATTAAGGGTGCGTCGCGCGGGGTTAAGCAGAGCAGAAAATTGGAAAAATTTTAGGGAGACAAGTGACATATATCATATAATCTTTTTTAATGTTGAAACATTACTGGGAAAGCGATTTAATAAAATTATAAAAATAAAAACGTAAATAAACTGCACATTTTTGCAAATATGGTTTATATTTAGATTTTAGGAGTTTTAGTCCCAGTTATTAATTATGATTTGTCAAAATTTCATAAATATTTGTAAAATTTTCTGTTTTAAATTTTGATTTTTTTAAAACTTGATTTAGTTATTATCACGAATGGCTAAAGTGGTGACTAAAGTACTTTAGTCACGGGTTTTAGTCACGGAATGAAGTTTACGCTTCTGTATTTGTCTATAGTGCAGCACAACAGCAATAAACAAAATTTTACAAAATTTTAAAATAAAATAAGTAATTTAAAATTCAAGTAAAATTTCAAAGCCATGACTAAAGTACTTTAGTCACGAGCTTTAGTCACGGGCTTTAGTCACAGGGTAAAGCTTAAATTTGCATCTTTCCTTGTTTAAAACGTTATACTTCTTCACTAATACACAAAATCCAAAAAACAAAATTTTGCAAAATTTCGAAAAAATATGTGATTTAAAATTAAAGTAAAATTTTAAAGCCATGACTAAAGTACATTAGTGACGAGTTTTAGTCACGGGCTTTAGTCACGGGGTAAAGCTTAAATTTGCATCTTTTCTTGTTTAAAAATTTATAATTCTTCAATAATACACAAAATGCAAAAAACAAAATTTTGCAAAATTTTTATACAAATAATTTTTGATACGTTGTATATATTTTTAATTAACTACACCATACCAAATATTGAACTAAATTAACTTTATTTTACTACATCTTGAGTAATCAGTGAACAAAATTTAAGTTTTAAAAGTTTCACAATGAAAACTACGTTAAAAAGTAATAAAACGCAAAAATATATTAACTTAACTTCACTTCACTTAATTTAGCAATCTTGAATATGAAAGATCCGCTTAGTGGACTCGACACAAGTGTCAATAAATCACGCAAATTGCACAAGGCATTAAAATTATTACCTGTATCCGCCGATACAGCAGCACATAAACTTAAAAAGCACGTTCCACGCACGTGCCACAAACTTTATCGTCGACAAACAGCCGACCATTAAATTCCTATTCCTATTCTTAAAAAAATTTTCATCACTGAACAAAAAAAAATTGAATAAAAATCACTGCGTAATATTTAATCCTCGTGGGAAGCGCTTACTACTCGAAAGTAAAAGCAAACAGACATCGTGTAAAGACTGAGACTCGTTGTGTAAAGTCCTTGCACGTCCTGGAAGGGCTTTCAAGCGCGAGTGAGTGTTTAAGGGATGGGAAAACGTCATTCACGTCATTCGCGTGACACAATGTGTGTTTGCCGAGAGAGAAACTAATGCACTTTATTCCGGTTTCCAGCCACAGTGCAATCAATCTGTACGTTATCGTTTTTATCGCCGGAGATATACTTGAAATATGTAAATATCCAGAGGAGTAAAACGAGGATAATGCAAACGAAATCAATTTGCATGCGAATTTCCAGAGCGGGGAAGGCTGGGAGATGCAAAAGTTGATTTCGTAGTGCAGTTTATGCAGTTGATATTTTGCGATGTGATGTGATTGTCGTTTGTCGTTGAATTAATTTGATTTCTGTGTGCAATTTGGCACGCATTCAAGTCATATCGTCAGAGGAGATTAATATGCGACTGTGGAGACAAGAAAAAAATAATATATCATTTTTTTTTAGGTTTTTCTTGATGATTTCATCATTTTTCAAACTTTGACTTTTTTTGTTATAAAATTGTTAATTTTTCTATTTTCTTGGCAATTTCTTCACATTTTTTCCATTTCCAATGATTTCTTGAACTATTACACACGTTTCAAGACCAAAATTAGCCAAATCGGCCCAGCCGTTCTTGAGTTATAATGAAATTCAAAATTTTTATAAATTTTGTAGCTTTTGCTCACAATTTTGTTCCTGTAGCTTTTAATAAAAATAATTTTTAATATTTTAATGATTATTCTACTATTCGGGATATAGATGAATCCAAAAAATCATAGATAATCAAAATCGGTCCAGCCGTTCTTGAGTTATAAATGATCAAACTAACACGACTGATGATAAAGTAAAAAAAATCATTTTTTGTAAATTTTAATACAAATATAACAAAGTTACAAGGACTTTTAAAACTTCCGGTTTTCACCATTTGATAAAACAACTTTCTGACTTTCCTCCCGCATAAAAAAGTATTTTTTATTCCTTTGAGTAGCAATACCACCCCCAAAATTGTAAAATGTAAACGATATCATGCTTTTATGATTGGATTATTTCGACGGCAAACTTTTCGAAACTCTCTCCACCGCGAACTTTCCCCGTCGCGCGATTTTCCACCCACATTCGCAATTCTTTCTGCAAGTGTGAGCAATTGCACGCGGCCTACTTTTGTCTCAGAAACGTAGAAACGGACGATGACGATGCCGAAGCGGTGGATCCTTATTGCGAATCCTTGCACTTAGACGACAGGACGCAGTCACGAAGGGGGTCGAATCCAATAACCCGACTGGCAATCAAGCGGCCGTCGGGGGGCTTGTCTGTGGCTACTTGCCGCCGCCACCCCCTCCACCCTTCACTACCACTAGTGTAACATAGAAACAAGAAACGAGTCGAGAAATACCCGAGAAAAAGAAAAGCAGTAGCAGTAGGCTTGCAGACGGAGGCGGCGAGACGATTGCGGAGGCGGCAAAGAAATCCGACAAATTTAGGTCATCCTCTTAGGACGAATGCAGCCGATATTAGATAGATAGGCCTAACGAGACGCGTCTCGCGTACGCAACTCGCCCAGCAGCCGCCCCGAGAAACAGCTGCAACTTTCCTCTCCCTCGGGTGCGCGCCAGTCGAGAGATCACACACAAAGTTGCTTCCGGAGTTGGTTTATGCCGCGTGTGCGTCAAAGGGCGGAGGCGGCGAAGAAAAAAGGAAATTGTAAGGAAATGCGTACGGTTTCCGCCGCCGCCGCCGTCGGGGCTATTTTCGGAAGCGATGTGCGTTCGACTCTCATCTGTTTCGCCGAATTGTGTCAGAGAGACGCGACGCACGTGTCGCCGCCGCCGTCGCCGCCGCCGCCTGTGATTCATTCCTCGGATGGTTATCGTAAGCTGTACTACGCGTCGCATGTGGCGTGTGCGTAGTAAAATTGCCTTTCTTCTCAAGCGCGTTACTCGCAAACGCTTCATCCAAATCGAACGCCCTTTGGGCACGAAGATAAAGGAACTTGTTGGCTATATATTATTGCTTGTTGGGAATTTTTATCCGAAGTGGAATGCTATTTGTAGCGGAAAATCGACGATGAGAAATTTCTCATGTTGAATAAGAATCCCTACTATAATATTATAAATGCGAAAGTCCTGATGTTTGTTACACTTTCACGCAACAACTTAACTTAACTTAACCGATCATCATGAAAATTTGTACACATATTCTTAGTGGTCCCCGAATGGTTATAGGCTACTTTTTATTTAATAAAAAAAATTATTTTTTAAATAAAATAAAGAAATAGTTTAGCCAATAATACCTCTGCATCTGGCTATTCGACTACTTTAACGCCATCTAGCATTCCAGCAATGAAGCTCAAACCTTAGTACTATAGTACCATCACACTGTATTATCACACTGTATTACCGACAGCTACGTCAACATCAAATCCAATTGACTACACTATGGAGACTGTACACTATACTTCCATAGACTATACTTTCAGCCATTTTAAACTTCCCGCCATTCTACTTCATTGTTACTTCTTCTGTGACTACAGACGCGTACGGAAGCAACTTCATTATTTTAGATATTCGCGAGCGAAGCCAAGGGTTAAAGCTAGTGATTCATATTTTTCTAGGCTATAAATCCACAAATGTCAAACATGCATGATATTGGTTGAAAAATTCACCACCAGATGGCAATAGTGGTACTTTTAAAGCTAACACATAGGTGGCGCTACTGGTGTGAATGTAAATATTATATTTTAATTTTTTTCGTAAAAATCTGATTTTTGAAGGGTTTTGTAAATTTTAAGGGCTGATTCTGCTTTGTATGATGCGCTGGTGTGGTTTGAGGGTGTTTTTGCCTGATTTTGTTCATGGATCGCAGTTTTTTTTGGTTTTAAAATAGAAAATACACCACAGATGTGGAATTTTGTTTTTTGAATGTTTTTATGTGTCCAACAGTCCGATCCTGGGCATCGCCGAGTACCACCATGCTGAGTACTTCGACGGCAGCCGCGTGCCCACGTGCCACACGCGCGCAAACACCTTCTGGCCGGCGGCGTACTTCCTCGGCAGCTGCGTGCTCTTCTTCCTGCTGCCGTTCATCGTCCTCATCGTCCTTTACCTGATCATCGCGCGCAACCTCATCTCGCACGCCGCCAACGTGGTGCTCAACAAGCACCTGGACAGTTACTCGATTCGCGCACGCAAACAGGTTATCCTCATGTTGGGCACCGTTGTGCTCTCCTTCTTCCTCTGCCTCATTCCATTTCGTGTCTTTACCATCTGGATCATCATCGTGCCCGAAGAGAAGTTCTACGCGCTTGGCGTGGAGAAATACTATAATATTTTATACTTTTGCCGGATAATGGTTTATATTAACTCTGCGATTAATCCGATTTTATACAATCTGATGAGTTCGAAGTTCCGCACGGGGTTTTTAATTTGTTCGGCCTGGAGGCGGCGTAGGCATGGGTTTAAACTCAAACGGGCGGCGCGTAATGGTACTTTTAGTACAACGGCGAATTCGAGACGTGATAGTTTGCTGCGGGCGGCGACTGTCAAAAGCACTGACAGCGCACGTGATCATTTGACAAGTGACAACGTCAATTCTGACAGTTCTGCTAAGTTAGGCAACCAACAACGCACACAGTCGGTGCTATTCAAACAAATGCCGTCTACTTCTATTGAAGAAACAGGGTCTGATGCGAGTGGACTGGACGGGAAGAAACGCTTTTGCATTTTACATAAAAATGTCATAACTGCCGCGCATCGTAAAGGCCGCAGTAAGTTTAAAATAAACAATGAAAATTTAGAGAATATTTCGTTGAAAGAAAATCGATTTTTGCGAAAAACACAAAAAAGTGAAGAAAGTTTTGTTTAAAATTACTTTAGATTGCAAATTGCACACCGAACAAAGTTTAAAATAGAATTAACAGGAGTGGAAGTACTTGATCCTTGTGACTAAGTTTCCTGGATTTCAAGGACAAAGGTGTTACCGTTACAAGTCTGCATTATCCTTTTAGGACTATCGATCTCACGTTTTCGGTGCGTTTGTCTTTCGCTGTCTTCAAATCTTAGCGAGGCGTTAAGCTGTCATCCTGTCTTTTCCGGGAATTATTATTGAAAATTCAAAAATTATTACTCAAACAGAAATTGGACCCAAAATCATGACTTTTGTTGACTTTCTTCAACTTTCGAAGATTTTTATAAAACTTTTTCTTTTAAAATTAATCGTTTCGGTCAAATAGGAAAATTATTCACTTGCCTCCAGCGCTTTGAAACTCCCACGATCAAAACTTTCAACTAAAGCTCCTGCAAAGGTCCTTTTGAGGTCCTTCCGGTCTGGACCCACATGCGGTACGCCACCAGCTTTGTTATGACACTCTTCATCATTTGACAACGATTTACTCCTTGAAATCACATTCTCCCATCCTTTTTTTTGCTCCCACGGCTGCCGAGAAGGACAAGGACACACCTTACACACCTAGGACGACTGCGGACACACAAGGACACATTGGGGAGACACATTCATGAGGTTCGGCAAGGTTTCGCATGCAAAGTGCGTTAATATCCGTGCGTCACGCGCTTTTTACCTGCGCAGGATAAGGATTTCCAGGATAGCATGGATTTCAGTACTCATGATGATTTATCACCAACTCGTGCGCTACATTTCAATTTCTTCAACCACAGAATCAAAATTTGCAATCGCTGCGGCTATAAATATAAATGTAGTTCGGGGAGTCCTTAAAATCAAGGACATGCAAAAGAAATAAAATTATTTACGCCATAAAATGTGACAACTGCCAAAGATGACTAGATATATTAATGTTACTTATTTCTATTATGACTTAACGCGTTGGGTACTTAGGTATTAATATTTAATTATTCGTAGGTTGTCGGCCATTTTGAATAACAAACACTTAATGATTTACTTGTTAATAATACGACAAATAGTGATATTTGCTGATACATGACAATGTACGCGTTGCATTTGCATTTTATTCATCGTTCATTTATTTATAAATTATTTATAAACATAATTCATTCATTCATACAACTGTATTGTGTGTGTTAACGTAGGCAACTCATTATGCACTCACTACATTCGTTTTCATCAACATCAACAGAAACATATTAAATACTAATTAATAAACTTATAATACATGTTTACCGAATATATACAATACATAAATAAACAATACTATACAATACGTATGTAGAACTTATCTGTATTTGTAATAAACATGCTTGTAGACATGTAGCGCCATCTAGATGCAACTCGCCACACTTCAGTGTTTATCTATTTGTCTTTAGATTGCACCGCATTGTGTTTAGATACACGTAGACAATTTTAAACACACACGGTGGTGTTGTGAGACGAAATGTTTGGTTATGTTGCAGCCCGATATTGGCCATCACCCAGTTCAGCTACGAAGAGTATTTCGACGCTACCATGGTTCCAGTTTGCTTCAGCCTAGCAGAGACCTTTTTCGCTTCGATGTACTTCATCCTCACGATGACGATTTTCTTCTTTCTGCCTCTACTGATCCTCATTGTCCTCTACGCCATGATCGCCAAGACGTTGATGGACCATCCGAATTTAATGACTGCCTATCGCAACAACGCACTGCCATCGCAATCTGTAATCAAATATCGTAAACAAGTCGTCGTTATGTTGGGCACTGTTGTTTTAGCATTCTTTGTTTGTTTATTGCCATTTAGGGTGCTTACTCTGTGGATTATTCTTGCGCCTGCGCATACGATTACAGATATCGGTATAGAAGGTTACTACAATTTGATTTATTTCTGCCGCATTATGTTTTACATTAATTCAGCGATAAATCCGATTCTGTACAACATAATGAGCTCGAAGTTTCGCGGTGGGTTTTTGCGTGTTTGCGGTTTTCATGCGAGGATGAAACACAAGAATGCTGATATTAATAGGAAGAATACTTTCAATACGACGTCGAGTACGAATACATCCAGTCAGCACACGTCGGAGAGTTTGTTTTCCAGATACTCGAGTAAGCACAAACAAAAACATGATAAAACTGATAAGGAAGAGAAAAACTTGGAAAGAGATTCGTTTAAGAGCAAGAACGATGTGTATGTGAGGATTATTACGCAAAAGGATAAAGATAAACATTTCGCAGCGCCATCTGAGAGTTTTGTGTGAAACTATTCATGTCATGTTTACTGTTTAATGTTGTTATTTTTTTATTTTGTGTTTTAACGAAATGAAACGAAACGAAAAGTGAGATTGTAACCTAATTAATTGAAAGTAATGCGAAAACTCATATTATGAGACACAACATAACCTAATATAACCTATAATTCATCAGCATGTGGATTTGCTCAATGAGATGTTCGCAAAGTGTTGTAAAGTGTTGAGATAAGTTTTATAAGCGAGAAATGAAAAGAAAAAGACAAAATCAAAATGAAAAGACATGAAAAAGATTGGAATCGTTTAGCGTTTTATACGAGCGAATGGTTGATAACAAATCTAGTCTTATTTTTTAACAATTTATGTTCCTACAGACGGAAGAATTGATGGGTTGTGTGAAGTTGAAATTGTTGGTAATTGTTGAAACAAAAACTGTTGGAAACTGTTGGATTTGGAGCGATTTTTAGTCAATGGCAACAATATCTATGCATATATTTTGTATAAATATACTGTATATATGGTAAATGTAATGAGAAAATGATGAATAAACGTTTTTAATGTATCAATAACTAAATTATCAATAAATTCAAATTGTTTTGTTGTGTAGTATTGGAAATATTGTTTTTTAGGTGTAATGTTGGTTGCCAAGAGTTAAATCGGCATTTTTATTAAAATATTCGAACAAATGTTTAATAAAATACATTTTTAATATAATTTAACTATTTAAATAAATATAATTATTATGTGTAATAATAATCGTATATTTTAAAAGATTTTTTAATGTTATTATCACAAATTTAATTTTTACTATCCCATCCATATGAACCATAAAATTTAACACAAAATAATGAAAATTTACAATAAAAAAGGTTTATTATATGTTGTTTGTATAAATGTAAAAGAATTACAAGAAATAAATAATTTTTAAACCATTTTATTTCATTTTTATCGTGTACAATAAGTTGCCTACCTCTAGGCGCAAAAATATCCCTGCCACACATTACCCCTGCCTTCGCGATAGTCAATATTGTTGCAGGTGCAAATAATTAATTAAAATCACGTGTATTAACCAAACTAAGCGTTGATTTAACTACACTATATACCTAGGTAAGTCTCAGAAGCATTGTTCACATTTTTCCTTCAGTTCTTTTCCTACTACGCGTTCTTTTCGCTGTCATTACATAAGTTCGTCTATAACCTAACATTTTTCACGACGAACGAAACTTCACAAACTTCAAATTATAAGCGACACACACAAATATTAGTTTAGTTTTATTTAGATATTAACCAGTAACAATACTGTAAAATTCCAGTGTATAGAGCGTTCTTATCATGGGCAACACAGTGTCTGCTGCAGACATTGCAGCATCACACATTGTCTATCCAAATCAACACAAAGATGGACAAGCAACACAATCAAAGGTACCCCCTGGGCATCCACATGTTCAACATGGGAATTATGCAGCTGGGGAGATACCTCCAGAATGCCCAATGCATCAGAAACAAGCTCCTGTAGCTGCGCCAGCTCCTGCACAACCTGTGGCTGCTTCAGAATGTCCTGTTGGATATGGAAAAGGAGATGTTAATCCTTTAAACATGGTAAGATTTATTTATTTGATGCATAGTCAACATATTCATTGTTAATTATGAACGAAATAATGACATTTATGTTGAAATTCTGTGGTTTCTTAATATTTCAATGCTTTTCGTGTATAAGAAGTTGCCTACGTTAAATACACGTTCTAGAATAATTCACCGAAAGAAATTTCAAAAAACAACTTTTAAAACTTTATCTGAAAGGATTTCATTTGCAATAATGCAGTAAATACACTTTTTATTTATACACAAATTAATTTCACTATTTCTATTTTTCCAGATGCCACCAGCTAATCAGAAACCATCCCCTGATCAACCATTTCCTCTCCCAATCGACAGACAAACCTCCTCAATCCCGAAAGCAATCGTCAAAGAAGGCGAATCCCCATTCTGGGTGTATCCCAGCCAACAAATGTTCTGGAACGCCATGTTACGGAAAGGCTGGCGCTGGAAGGAGGAAGACGTCAAGGAGAAAGACATGGAAGCGATTATTAAAATCCACAACGCCAACAACGAGCAGGCATGGCAGGAGGTACTTAAATGGGAGGCGCTGCATGCGAAAGAGTGCTGCTGTCCGAAACTGAAAAGTTTCGGTGGCAAAGCAACCGATTATTCACCACGCGCACGTATACGTCAACTAATGGGCTATGAGCTACCATTTGATCGTCACGATTGGATTGTTGATCGATGCGGGAAAGATGTACGATACATCATTGACTACTACGATGGCGGATCAGTTGATACGAAATTTAGGTTTGCACTTTTGGATGTCCGTCCGGCGATGGACAGGTAATGCATATAAATTTAAACAACTATTAATAGTGTGCATTTCGACCTGGAGTTGCAAATGATTTGAGGTTAATGTTAATAATGGATTCTTAAATGTTCTATTTTGGTTGCAGTTTTGAAAATATCTGGGACCGAATGAAGGTCGCATGGTGGCGATGGCGCTACAGCAACGAATAATGCAAGTTAAGCAATTTTCCCAAAGTTAGCCGCCATTTAGACAGTGTAATTAACCCAAAGTTTGATGCGAGTGTAAGTTCGCATTGTTTCACAACATTTAATTAAATTATTTAAACGATCAATGTTATTATCGCATCGGTCACGCTCTTGTGAGTTAATAAACAAATAGGAACAACATATCCGACGAAGAAAACAGTCCCTTTTACTTAAAACTGATTTAAAAATAACTCGCTCACTTTGTTAACTTTAAGATTTAGTTTAGATAAACGTGTAACACGCGAGCGGTGGTAATTTGTGTAAGAATTACCTCGCGGGTTAGTTTAAGATGGTGGCCGATAAGAAAATCACCGTCACAAGGTGCGTGCTTAATGAAATTACCGCCTGTAATTGATTATTATGCAAATCGCGCTTGCAACAAGTTGTTTCACGGTTTAATTTTATGTTTCCGATCAATTTCTTTTGTAAAAATTGAGTGATTGTCACTTTGATGTATATTGTGTGGCCTATATTGATAGATGAGGGTATTCTATGCGTGATGGCGGCGGCTGTAGCGGTCGATAATACAGAGGGCGCCTGTCGCGCCGCCGTCCACGATGGTCGCCGGCTGATCGCACCCAAAACACGCACGCACACACAAACAAACGAACGCTCGCCGTCGCCAGCCGGATATATTTCCATCCAACAATAATCGAAAGCGACTCAATTGTGAATAGTGCGTGCAGCAATCTAGCGAAAAATTCACGTTTAACGAACAGTACAAATCTATCAACGTATATAAACCGCGCCGAAATTTGACAGACGACTCCGTTGCCAATTTCCCCATCGCTAGCGATTACAATAAACATTAAACGGTAAGGGTGTGTACTTGTGTGACAACCTGAGAGAAGTTATACTCGCGTGATGAGAATGTGCGCGGCGCGTAACGCCGACAGCCGGCGATAACGAAACCGTTGGTGTCGCGCGATTGTTGCATCGCCATCTTCGGATGCGCGCGTGTGTGCGTGCGTGCGAAAACCACTTGTTAGCCCGCGAGCAGCGAGGGTGCGCGCACCCGCACACAGTACCCACACGACGCTCCCGTGTGCTGTGTGCACTGTGCGGCACGGCGTGCAATTGTTTATTAAGAAAAACAACAACACACACGCGCATCGACACCGAACGGAAACGAACACGTTGAAGACTAGTCAGGCTGGCCGAAGATCTTCACTCGAAGGCTTCGTAGAATGATCGGGTGAGTACCTAACCTCAATACTCTACCACCCCATGTATTAGTTATAGGTTAGCATAGTATAGAAAACATTTTAAGCTGTAACTTGTATGATTTTAATGCGATTTGAAAAATTCAAACGTCATTTTATTCGTCGGGTCAACCCCAGGTATGTATCATGTTTATTATTACCGGGAATTTATATTAATGAGGTTAGGTTAATAAAACGCTTGTAAAGATAACGTATCGCCTGTATATGCGAATATTTTTCTATAATGAACATTCGTAGCCGCCATTGTTTTTATGTTTGTATTGCGCGCGTGTGTGTGTAGCAAACAATAAAATCGCCGGCGGGCGTTTCGAGAGGGGCTTTTTTATCAGCCGCGACAGGGCGCCCCCATTGTTGCGCCTCTTCGCCATGTGCGCGCACTCGGCGCACAATCAACAGCGAATGTAATGAAACATGCTACATCGCAATATTGTAATCGCGCTCGTACTTTTGAATTAGAAACACAGCAGCGGCGTGTATCATGTATCAATATCACAATGAGTTCTACGCGTGTACGTAAAAGTTTACAAAACAACAGATAACATCTTTATTTTAAGGTTAAAATGTATTTGCGTGTATATTGGGTTGCATAATATTAGGCGCATGCGTATGGAAATACAGCAATAGTAATTGTAATTTGCGTTAATTGCGCTTGGAATTATTTAATGACTATTTACTTATTTACTCAGCTAATGAGCAATGGGGGCGGCGGGGGCGGTGCGTGTTGAACACAAAAACACCAATCAATGTATTGACGATAAAAGTTCGGGTTTTGTTCGACGATCAGGAGATTAATTATTTATTCATTTGTGTGCGTGAGTTTAAATTGAGTTCATCCAACACGAATAATCATCAATCACATTTTATTGCTACTAATTAATCACTCATTATCGAATTGTAGTTTTTGAAATTATTACTATTGATGTGATGTATAATATGCAAACACACTGTATGTGTTTATGAGTGGACATTATCACATGAGTGCATGCAGGCGCTAATTGAACGTAATAAAAGTTTGCTGCATTAATTAAATTATTCACTTAGGCGCGATTGGTTTCGCTTCTCTATCCAACTGTATTTTTTGGTTTTAATATGTAGATATTATTTAATATGCAATGATTTTCGTAATTTATTCATTTATTTATTAACGGCGCAATTAAAACCGCGCGATTAAACGTTGATTAAATGCAAATACTCGCGACTGTCCCACAGGAGGCTTTAAAAATTATTTGCAATTAGAACACAATTATTCAGAATTTGAATTTATATTCGGATGGGAATTAAAAATCGTGGAAATGTTGCAACATGTAGAAGTTAACTTGAATTTATGTTAATTAATTAATAACGTAATTAATTGAATTTGTTTCGTGTTGTAAGGACATTTAATTAGAATAAGTGCTTCTGTTTAGTGTTTTTTTTGATTTTATTTAGTTTCAAACATTGCAAGTGTAAGGTTTTTAAAAGTTTAAAAGTTTTTCATTCATTGTACAGATTTCTTTGGAAAATGAAAGAGTAGGAAAAGGCAAGGGAATGTAATTGTTAGTAATTACATTTTTAATTTCTTTAATTAAAACATGTCATCATCTATTGCTAGGTTAAGTAAATCTATATATATATATATATATAAATTGCTGTTCGTTAGTCTCGCTAAAACTCGAGAACGGCTGAACGGATTTATCTTATCTTGGTCTTGAATTATTCGTGGAGGTCTAGGGAAGGTTTAAAAGGTGAGAAAAATTCGAATAATTGCCGGGAAAATCCTTAAAACAGCTCTTTTCTATAGAATAAAATTTGACATTGAGATTCAATCATAGTTATAGTTAAATAGTTGAATTCGAGATGGCGCGCTGAAGTGCATTATTGACAAAACTTTATATGCATAATTTCTTTAAATTAAAATTGCTAATCTTATTGATGGAATTGACTCTTACTACGAGTATGTCTAGAACAAGAGAGTAAAACGAATTACATTTTATTAAACACTGCCGGAACGAAGTCGCGGGCAACAGCTAGTTCAATTATAGAAAAAACTGTTTTTTTCTTTTCTGGTTGTGAGGCATAAAAAGTGTACTTTAAACACGGATAACCAAAGCCGTGACTAAAGTACTTTAGTCACGGGCTTTAGCCACGGGGTGAATTTTAATTTAAAGAATTTATCACTTTAAAAATTAATAATTTTAATGTTTTTGATAAACAAAAGTAAAAAAAAGTAAAAAATTACGTTTAAAAGAAAAAACACAAAAAAACTGCTACAATTAGTCTTCAACTGATCGCTTTGACATTTGTAACATTTCAACCACCCCCATACCATTTCGTCAGTTAGATCCCCATTTAAAAACACAGATAGCACTTAAACGCCACTTGTTGTGTTGTAACACGCCAATACTCCTCACAATACTTACCTACAACTAACTAACTACTTGTTACACATTCGTGTCGTAATAGTTCACCTTTGCGGTCGTCATTTCGCCTCCGTGTGTATATTGTTTTCCAATCGATCGCGCATCGATTACAGACATTACGGCCATTATCGACTGCGGCCGCATTACATGCATTACGGCCATTAGCCGCCGAGGGGGCAGTGAGCATTGAGTGCGCGCCGGTTTACAATGCGAGGGGGTGTAATTTATTAAAGGCTTGTGTTTTTTTTGCTTCTCTCCTTCGTTTCACTCGACCTCTGACGCCGCGTCGCGTTTCGTTTCATGCATTGCAATGCGACGCAGAGAATCGATTTTCCAACTAGCAGCGCACAGCGAGCGACACATAAATAGATAATTACATTAATTGAAAACATTGAAGACATTAAGTTAAAGGACGTGTTTTAGGGGGTTTGATGGTGGTAATTATGGTTATCATGGAATTTTTTATGTGAGCATTAAATATTTATTGAATTTTTGATATTTTGAAGGTTTTTTCAAAGGTTTTTGGATTAATTTGGTATTATTATTACTAAATTTGTAATTTTTAGTAAAAATTTAATTTTTGTAATTTTTAAGACATTAGAAATGGTAATAATGCACTTTTGCGCCATCTAGAATTCGATTATTTAACTGTAACTTCATTTTAATCTCTATAAGAACTTTTATCCCTTATTTAACACCCTTTAAATTATAATTTTTAAGATTTTAATAGTTATTCTCCTTTTGTAGGCCCAAATGAATCCAAAAAACCATAAATCATCAAAATCCGTCCAGCAGTTCTTAAGTTATAAAGAATCTAACAAACATGACTTTATTTAAAAGCGCTAGTCTAGTTTATCTGATACATTTTTTTTTCATAAATTTAATATGAGTTCTTTTTTTACTCTACGTGACTTGTTTACCACTAATCAACATGGCCGCCGCTGTCATATGCGTTCCTCTTTTGTTTCGCGCTGTTTGCTCGCTAATCATGTTGACTTGGGCGCGCACTGACAAGAATAACCATTAAAATTGGTGACTCATGTTTTTTTATCATATTCTAATACCTTTTATGATTTTTACTATCTATATGGATTTTTAGTTTTCATTATTTTTGGATTCATACGAGTACGATCCTCTCGCCTCTTTTTTTATTTTTATTTTTATGTGTTGCGTTGTTGTTTTCTGTTTACGTGCGTTTTATACGTTTCGTTTGCGCGAGATAAAAATGGCGAAATTAATGTCGAACGCGCGGACACAAAGCTACGCAGTAAAGCCAAAGGAATTACGAGCAACGGGCGCTGGGAATTTCGATATTCATAATAGAAATCAAACACGCTTGTTTTCCGACGGGCCATAAACGCGTACGCGCCGTAAAAGCGCGTTTCTTTGAGTGCGAACGCAAACGCATTTTTTTCGTTTGTTTAACTTGGTTTTGGCAAAGATTTTTAAACGTATTTTTAGGGGAAAACTGCGTGGAGCGTAATTTTGGGCGGAAAATAATCGAGATATTTGCAAAAACTAAACAAAAATTTGCG